AATTTTAAACATGAAATACATTATTCGTAAAATTAAACAAACCAGTATAACAAAAGGCCGATCTACATTCTCAGGATTATATTTAGTAAAAGATACTTCTAAAAAAATCATACTTCTCTTCATCATAATTATAACGTCTAAAGAGGTTATGGGTTTTTTTTATTATAAAATACGTTTAAACAATCTTTCATCAAGAAAAACATTTTATTATATTCAATATAGCCATATGCACACACAGTGCGATGATTGACGCACGCATAACAATTTGATTGAGAGCAAAAAATAAGGTCCAAATCATCTGTACGTAATTATTAGACAATTACATCATAACTTAGTGAACTCATTGGGTCCAAACATGAAATAATAAAATTTTCTCAACATAAAAGAATACAAAGTTACCTATAAAGTTAAACGATACCCAAATTGTTCTTTATATTGCATTGTCTTGTTATAGCGAAAATTGTAAAGGCGGTACTCAATTTATTAGGTAAGACTGTTATTGCCAATTTTGATCTCCTTTTTGTTTTTTAGTGTGACTGTATGTAATTAAATCGACCTTGTTTTCACTTCCATGCCTGTTTTTTCAAATCCTGTATAGTTTCCTCGCTACAAAATGACTCGCATATATTTTTTTTTGAGTAAATTTTATTAATTCACCTTTTGGCTGTTACTGAACCCTTAGAAATGTGATATACATAATCAGTTGAAAATTATAAATTGTGGGCAAACGACCCCCACTCCCCTCTTTATGATCGACCATTTATTATACTCGTCGTCGGTATATTAATATAAAAAAAACTGTTTGGCACATTATAATAACAAAAAACAATGCTCTCAAGAGCACTAATTTAATATGTCGTTTATGTAGTTATCTAAAATTCACAATTTACGTATTTGACAAGTCTGTGTGATATTATTATTATAAGGGATTCATTTTCTGTCTAGAAAACGATTATTTAAAAAACTGAAAGTCCTCTCGTCGTGTTTAACGAAGTGTGTGATTCGACTCACGATGCCTCGCTCTCGATATCTATTGACAACAATAAGCTGAGACCCTAGTACGAATTTGGCGAGTGTCTGTACCGGAATCCATGCTACTTTATTATGTTACGCGTCTAATTTTATATATCCACATATGAACCCGTACTAAGGCCTCTGTTACGGCTGCGTTCGGCAGCAGGCATACATTCTAAAATCAGTCCTAGCTCCACCCCCCATTCTAGAACATTCCAACAATCTTCGATAGAGCATCGCGCTATCCTTGCCGTACGTACTTTAGATTTGGCAAAATACATTCACCAGCATCTTTTCAATTTATTTTAAAACATAATAATTCATATATTTAAATTTGTGTTTTTTAAACTCTTATGGTCATTTACATTTGGATGATTATTTTCTATGGGATTGCTGTCATGTACATTGTATTTATTGAGCTCATGATAAATAACTTGCCTTACCTGTGAAGAATCAGGTGTAAATATATAGATAAATAAATTTTATTTAAAGAGTTAAAAAATGTTCTTTATATAAACTAGTAATAGCTGTTAAATATCCCCAATGACTCGCAAGCCGCCCTTGTATAATGACACTAAGGAGCAGGTCAGCTCATCGGGGTCTGGTCAGTATATTACGTTACTCGCCTACTAAATGTAGCATGCATATAATTAAATAATCACAATCAAGCTTTAAAATTTGGTTTTAAATATTTGAATTATTGAAATTGTTCCTGTGACGGTACTAAATTTATTAAAAACAAACTGTAAAGTTGCTGTTAAATATATTCTAAATAGCAAATCCAAGGCTTGAGCCTTGGGTTTGAAGGCTTGAGACCGGTTTATAATGTAAAAATAATACAATTGAATAAGGTTTATTCAATTGTATTATTTTATTCGAACGGATTATATTATTCGACGATTACTAAATAAACGGCCATGCAAGTATAGCGCGGGAGCCTTGACACAAAAATTCCTATAAATGAGCAAAAAAGAGACGACTGACGTCACACTCAGGTTTTACTGAAACATCAATTCAAATGAACAATCAAAATAAATGGAAAATATTGTTACCATATTATGCTATATATGTTGATTTATATCGTCATAAGAGTATCTATAAATTAACATTACGAGGTAACTTAAACATGGAAATTGTACAATAAAAAAAATATCTACAAATCGTCACTCGCAACACCGAATCGCCTGTCGCACCCGATACAACAGTGGACAAAGCCGCGTGGCCACAAACCATTCATAATAATTATACCTCATTATTATCCTATACACATAAAAATATTAAAACGGAACGTTTCTCAACTACATATTATATAATAATGTGCGTAACGAGCCGTAACATTATAGACTCACCATTAGCTGTACAAACGAATCTCGTAATAGGAGTAACGCGACCACCGCCCGCCCGCCCTCGCCGGCGAATGCCGGCCGAGTGCCGGTGGTCCGAGACATAACGACAGACGCGACGGCCCTAGTGCCACAATAATATTTAGAATATTCTCGTCAGAAACATCGATAATTGAGCACCGAGAAAATATAGACAATGAGACATCCCAAAATTGAAATCACAAGCGCGTCCATTTACAAGAAACAGGAGTAGGTTATGATTCGCGGTCGCCCACATCTACACGTATTTATTACACATTTCCTGTTCTAATAAACCAAAATAACTGTATATATATATATATATATATTTTGTTTATTGTATACCTCACCAACGACCGCATCGTTTAGATATTCACTCTAAATTACAATGAAAAAGAACAGTAATGATTATGGCACATTGTTATAGCGAGAATCATTTGAAAACCAAATAACATTTCGACGAGTCACGATATCAAACCCTAATCATAAAGAAATTTATACAATCATAAATATTATAATGTATTAGAACATCAAAAATTCAATGTATAACGGTTCATGAAAATATTAAATACCGAAGACTACTATTTATACTGTTAAGTACGTTTTGTTTTTTATACGAAATATTAGTTAGGTATATTTATTTATATAGAAATATCTAAACCAACATAAGGTAGGTTTATATAGAAATAATAAAGTATGAGGTAGTGTAGTTGAAACGTTTCATTTTCATGAACCGGAAAAATATAGAAAATCATAAACAGTACATAGATAAAAATATGCCACAAGTACATAAGATGCATAAGTACATACATACAAAGTACACCAAAAACTTTAGGATACAATCGCTCAATGACGCCAAAAATGAACATCACGCCACCAACTTCAAACGAACTGAACTATACCTTACCACTTACAAGTGCAGGTAATCACGTATTCAATAATCATATTAATTTAATAATAATAATCGTAATATTACACCTTAAATATCTATACAATTTATGAGCCCGGTGAGGCTGTAAAACTTATTAAACTTCATTTATATCATACACAAGGCGTGTTCCGAGCACGCCTTCGTACTATACAAAAATTAAAAACATTATTACAATAATACCTACTACAATACCATAGATCTAATAAATACAAGAATCAACTTACGACTACCAATGCCGTGTAGCACGATGTCATCATGAGGTGACGGTATATTCGTATTTTAGTTACAACCTCTTTTATAACATTCAATTTATATTATTTAATTAATGTAATTTATTAATTACCTATTACAATAATGTATGTGCTCTCTCTGAAACAACGTCGTGATTCGGAACTTTAATCGTTATATATTGCCTTGACAAGCTAATTATGTCGTTCCTGCCCGATGTATACTTTCATCTTACGAGTGGTTGACCTTGTACGGCCACATTAAAATGTTGAATCGTGTATCGTAGCAGCTCACAATTTGTCGCTGCTTAAATATATCTTATCGTGAATACATATTATTACATATTATAATATTTAAACTGAAAAACTTGTAACATTCTTCCGGCAATGAGTGCGTTTAGTTCGATTACCACATGTATAGATGATGACGAACTATTTTTTTATATATTAAAATTTATTGTTTCCTGTTTAAAGTAACTCACAATATGTGTGATGTTTTTTTTATTTATACCTTAATGGCAATGGCAATACAGGACGCCGCAATGCATAAATTCTATTTCAGTAGTAAATATTTGAAAACATTAGGCCAACTCAACGTGAATAAATAATGCAGCCGCATTGCGAGTTAGCAACGAACTGTGCTAAAAGCAGCTGAAAGTCAATGGAACCGCCTACTCGACAACATGTTCACAAAACGCCATAACTTCTCGAATCATTGCTGGCACTTGCAAATTCATTTATTACACAACTAAGAACATTGACGGTCGATGCTGAACATTTGTGCTGCTGTTAAGGCCGGTGACCGGGCGATATCAGTTATAATACATTTCGTACGCTATAGTGAGTGCGGGCGTCCAACAGGCCCGCGCCCACCGGCCGCCGCGCCTGCACTTTAGTTATCACCTTAGAAATCGATAGGAAGTCAGTTTTACTTACAATAATTCCACTAGGTATTTATTAACTAGGACTCGACGGTACGCCTTATGACAATCGAAGATACGACCCGAGGCGCCACCGTCAAAAATTTCATAAAAGTCTCTAAACATTCACAGCGATTCGTTTCAAGCTCCTCGCTTACGTTAATCGATCCGGCGCACAGTGTGCGAATAGGATACGATAAAACCGAAATCAATTGGATTTGTATCCGGTACGGCACGCATGCCGCTCGATACTGGTGTGCGGTCAATTAGACGGGCACGTGGTGATCTTACCGCGCAAGTTATGTTAGTACTCCTGATTTCGATGACTTCACTTCCAGCCTTTCGTCTGCCTTCATACGACGATCAAAAACCAGTCGCGGGACAACCTCGTGGGTCAGGAGTGTTGATGCTCAAGGCCCCGATGGGGGCGGGGTGGGACGGGTGCGTGCGGCGGACGCGGTGCCCCCGCTCAACGCGCGGCTATGCGACACAATGCGTGGCGCACGGCGGCGGCAGCGGCGGGCACGGCGGCGCCGCACAGGCCCGATCAGAGCCGATCTTCCTCTTCTTCCTCCTCGCCCTCGTCACCGGCCTCTTCGTTCTCCTCCCGGTACCCTGGATGCTCACTGATCGCATAATAGTTCCCATTGTAAATGACCCCGAGCTCCCGAAGTGCGTCACCTCGTATCGTCGCCTTGATCGTCCAGTTGTAGCAGTCGTCCGACTCAGACTCACGATCAAGCCTCTCGACGTCGAGGATCTTCGAGCTGAGTCGCTCGAGGATAATTCCTATGTCTTTGATGGTGAGATGTCTTTTTTGGTCTACGCTCAGCTGATCGATCAGTAGTAAAAATTTTTCGGAAGTGACCGCTTCGTCCTCGACGAGCGTATTTTCTGTCTCACTTTCTGAAGAATCGCGTTCGCCTCTTCGTGCCGATTCGGCATCGAGGAATCGAACGTGTCCCTTCGGCCGACCCTGTGGTGAAGCACGTGGCTGCGCGTCTTGGATAGGTGAAGTAGCGACGCTCTTGTGCACAGCAATACGGCGGCCTTCCTCATGCAACGCACAACAATGAAAATCACACTCATCCGGTGGCGGTCGTGATGGAGCTGGGACGGGTGCTGGGGATACGGCACCGGCGCGACATTCAGACGTGTGCACATGAACAGCTCCTGGTGGGTGGTCAAGCGAGCCCGAGGCGCGCGAGAGACGACCGCGCGCTGGCCCTGGCTCGTCATGGTTTACGACTGTGATGTGGGGCGGTGGTGGTTGCGGCCGATCGAGAGACGTCTGAATAACGAGTGACGGTCGCCGGTCGGGCTTGGCTTGCCGCGAGGGCGATCGCGCCGACGGTGACGCCTGTGGCCGCTGATCCCAGTGCAGCACCACCGTGACTCGCCCTTTGTTGTCCATGATCTTCCATGAAGGTGTTTCATCGTGCAGCTCGAGAGCGTGGATCGTCTCGCATACTATTTTTGGGATCGCCGATATCGCTGAAAAGAAGAATGAGGGATGAGTGTAGGCGAAAATGTATATTGCAAGACGGTAGTATTGCAAATGGCGTGAGAGTGCTCACCAGCCTTGATGACGTCGACGCCTGTGGGGTACCATCGTTCGCCCTGGCGCAGCAGCAGGAGCACGGTGTTAGGCGGGAGTGTACGCCAGTACTCGCCGTCCTCTACTTGAGTGCCGTCACTTTCGAGCACCAATCGCACCGGTTCGCTCGCCGCTACAGATAACTTCTCTTTACCTGTGCAATGATATTAATGTAATGATTCATTAATGTCTCTATTTCAAGTTATTAATTACAAGTATAATTTATAAAATCGAAAAAAACTTATTATGTAATGTTATCGTTGTCACTATATCAAAACCGATCACGTTATGAGCGTTCGAGTGTACAGGAGCAGTTAAAGCAGGTCACTGAACAGCTACGAGCATGAGTGGGACAAATCTGATTGACCTGCTACTAAACGGTTTATGTTCAGTAAAATCGAGTAAGTCAACACGAGGGTTATTTCACAAGATCAAATGGCTTAGTACGTTTGAAAGTCTCTATTCCGATTGACATATTTAGTAAAAATATCATAAAAAAATAAATAATACAGTTTACATAGGTTATGAATGGATAGCGATTTTGTATAAAAAATTATTAATTTATCAAATAAAATTTACATAATCTTATTTAATGACAAAGTCATTTATTGATGCTATAAAAATTAAGGCAGAGTAGGTAATACTCATCCAAGCATTTAATTGACTAGTTACAAAGGCCAGTTTGTAACGGACTCCCATCTTATACATTAAAGAATCAAACGTTAGCGTACCTCTATGAATTAACTCCTCGAAGCTAGTAACGACCAACCCCTTCCTAACATTCCTCGAGCTGTCCCATATTTTGAAAGGCCTCTTTCCTCTAACCTCCTGCCGAAAAAACAATTTCATATGCATAAACAACGTAAAATATTAAATACATCTATTTAAGTTTTATTAAGTGAACAGTTTATAAATGTGCTATATATTGTAATAGATGTTAATTAATTATCACTTCCTTCTCCTTCTATTATAACTCTACGACTTAAAAATAAACAAATGCCAGCGAATATATTGTATAATTCAAAATAAGAAAGTGTTTAATGGGATTAAAAAGCTCAAATCTATAATACTCAATGGCAAAATATTGAGTAAATTGACGTCGTATATGAATAGTTCGTTACGTGTCAAGGTTGTGAGAGAAACTGCAATAGAGCTAAGCCTCGCAGACAATACGTCGTTAGGCTCATGACGGCGACGGTCAGATCATCTGACGAAATGACTTAGGTACTTAACAGAATAGCAATCTCACCGAGGTATTTATCGTCATGCTTGAGTTGCAATTTATTTATTCATGGATTTTATGAAGGATTGAGTCAAAACATAGTTACATGTCACTCAAAGGCACTTGAACATACCCATTTTGTACGACAATTAGCACAATATTACCGTAGTCTAACTAATATTATTGGACTTTTAATTAGATCTAACGCTAAAGTCTGTATAGCTCTTCTATAAATTTCCAAAACTATCACAATTTTAGTAAGCACGTTAATCGAGCACTGATACATGACAAATTTAGCGACCATACACAATTCACGATTGGAAATTTTGGGTTAAAAAGTGCTGCTCTGCGCCCAGGGGCTACGGCGTAGCAGCTACGCTTTCGTAGTGCGTAGCGCGCGTCCGTAGCTCCTGCACTGGCTGCAGCGGTGCAACGCCCTCGCCCCGCCCCCTCCCCACGGCCCGGCTGGCCCGCGCCCCGCGCCCCTCGCCCCGCACGCACTGTGCGTTGACCCACTGACATCGCCGCCCTGTACGATCTTTAAACTAAACTTGTGAACTTCTGAACTTAAAAATACTCTTTTCGACATACTTCAGCCGTAAAAACTTTAAGACACGCTCATAACCACATATAATAAAATTTACTGCCGCCCTCGACACCGTTTTGACGTCCGGTGCAACGTTCCTATCAACGCATTCGGGTCATAAAAAATCCATTTCGCGGTCCCAAATGTCTTTGCGTTCCGCAATTCGATTACGACTTCCTGGCAGCATACCGACATACCTCCTGTATTTCGACTATCATCTTGTCACTTCACACTGTTAAATATATGATATCGGAATGTGTACAAGTGTAAATTGTGTGATGTATGAATAGCACGTCGTGGTGGTGTTACGTGCGGGCGGCGCGTGCGCGCCGGCGGAGCGCCGCGGCCGCACTGAGCGCGAGTCGTGACCGGGTCGCGGCCCCGCCCCCCGCACGCCGCCTCGCTCCTCACCCCATTCTCGCTACCGACCCCTCAAGCTTCACCCCTAGACCCCGCACTGCAGCGCTCGCCGTAATCTCTTGATACCGTAAGATCTTGAAATTAGCGATGATGCACTTTCCTTGCCTAAACGTTTTTGTAACAGTGAAGGCGCGCTATCTTTTATATCTAGATAGTTAATATTACATTTTCTTATCTAGTTTTAAAAATATCTATCATTAAATCTAAATTAAAAAAGTCACTAGATTTTTTTTTCTTTATTGAGAGTAGCTAACAACTATATATTTATTATTGACACATAAATAAGTAAACATGTAGTCAAATTTGCTATCCGTGGCTTACAAACTGTATTAGATGCATTAATTATTTTTACATTTACGATGTGTACATAAATTTACACTACATAAAAACTGCATAAATATGTGCTACATTTGTTGCTACGGAATACTTAAGCGCTACGAGAATATCGTAGCATCTGATACATGTTGATTTGGACTATGTTGGAGTTTACTAGGAGAAAACACGTGGATTAATTAACAACAAGAGTTAAGTCATTTGTTTGTTAAAAAAAAAGATTGTAAAATATTTACTGAGCTTGGAAGCGTTTGTTTCATAGTGACCGATTGGCATTCCAAAATCACTGTGTTGATTGAAGATATGAATACGATTATATCAATTCGCGTCCGTCGTGTCACGCTCGCACGTACGACTACTTGTAAGCGGACGTCACCGTTTGTTAATGATAAATTATAATATATCGTATACCTACTGTATGGAAACGCTCCGATTGCAAAAGTAAACATAAAGGAAAAACTGATTTTTCTTTCATTCGTGTATTTTAAATTAAACGTATCCAGTCAATAATATGTTGTGCACACACATAGAAAAATATATTCTTACTACGATATATATCGATAAATAATTACAAATTATACTAAATGAAACAATTTTAAACGGTTTCGTCGCGTCTGTATATAGTATTATTGACGTTTCGGACCCTTTACAGGTTCCGTGATCACATAAGACTAAGGGGTTAATTGTCTTTTTAATTAAGAGTATAGCTACCTTCAAAACAATACTATTGGATACATTCCTAATACAACCAATTTTATATTTTGTGGCAACGTTTGCTTTTTTTTTGAAAAATTGAAAAAATACATTTGACTTATTTGTAACCCATGGCTATCGTAATCTACCACCAGTTTCGAATTTGGGAGTCTTGTCTGAGAAAAACTAACGAAACAAACTCCGTTAAGAAAAGTGAATTGCTCCCTTTGATTTGATATTTACAGAATGAACTAACTGTATCTTTTAGTTTTGCAATGTGTGATCTGGATTGAGATTTTATTTGATTAATTATTAAGGTATATGTCAACCTTCATCTCTATTAAAATTCGGATATTTTTAATTTCAAGAGCCTCGTGTATCATTCTGTGAATATCTTTTTGTTCAGTCGCAAGTATTTTTGGATTGATAAATCTTATGTAATGCTTGGATCCACTGCTGTTAACACACTGCAGTTTTATTTTCGCGCCTATAAACTATTAAAATCATAAAATTGTTTGCATTGTGAAAGTGTCCAATAGTATTGTTTTTAAGGTAGCAATACTCTTAATTAAAAAGACAATCATCACCTTAGTCTTATGTGAACACGAAACCTGTAAAGGGTCCGACGCGTCAATAAAACTAAATACAAACGAAATGAAACCATTTAAAAGTTGTTTTATTTACGGATATTGTACGTGAAAATATAAAGTCAATACATAAATTAACTTAACAAAAATTATGAATTAAAAATTTTATTACCATATTCATGGTGTAATAAAATATAAATGAGAAATCTGTACAAATATTAAATAAAATATCAAGTAATCTTTTTCAATTCTTGGAATTGCTACAACGCACCAAAAAACTTAATATCTCGTACAAGAACCGCAACTAGGAAACAAAAAACTATTTGTTGATTCTTTTTCCTGCAATAGTACCTCTAACCTGTGTAGTTTTTGTTACTGTTCTCCGCATAAGTGCAGTATCCGTATGTAGAATATTCCGATAAAATCTGTGGAGATATTACATTCTCACAGAGTCCGCGCCCGACAAAATTTACGTGCCGTCCTGCCGGCTGCTAGTGAGGAGACTGACAATCCTTGCAAAAGTCGATGAAAAACACTTAATTTTACGATAAAATAAAACTACGATAAAGGTTATAAAAAATGAATGCGGCTTGTCAATAGCGTAAACTAAAGAAGGCCTTCACCTGAAGGTCAAGACAGATTGAAGAGAGGCAGAAAGATATGACAGCGTTGGGAGTTTCAAACCATGGACAAGTGAATCTTCATTAAAACAACAAAACAATTCGAAATGTGTAAAAAAATATATAAAAGACTCACGGAAAAAAAATCCTCTGGAGCACAGTGTGCACGAAAACAGAGAGTAGAAGAAATTGGTAGCATCAGAGAAATAAGAAAATTGAAAAAGAGAATAGTAGCATTCGGAGTGTGAAGTAGGGGATTAATTTTTTCGATAAGAAGGAGAAATAGATGTAGAAAGTATAGAATAATTAACGTTAGAGTATGTAAATCTCTGCGCTGGATTTTCAATTAAAAATATATGCATACACATGTAAATATTTTAATTTAACTTGCATACATTTATCCACCAAATGGTTTATTGGAGATTTAAAAATATACGCAGTCGAATCTACTAGTTCATTGTGCATCCTGAAAGAATTGGTTTCCCCACATCTTTCTATGGTTGACAATCAACAAATACGAGTACATACATTGAATTCTATGCAGCAAAAAAAGTTGCACAATTCAAGATGTTTTTACTAATAAATTATTGGTCTTAAACCCATTGATATTCGAATTTTATAATGAGCTTACCTAAGCTTTTTGTTTATATAAGAGTCGATTATAAATGAATTCTTATTAGAAATAATAAAAACGAATATATTATTTTTATACATTTAAGTCTATCGACACAGAAATAATACGACCTATTCCATCTCTAGTGGATGGCACCGGGTGACAGTAACATCCCATAAGCTTGTATGCAGTCAACCACTGCGTTGTAAAGTATGCAATACACGAGTGTATGCACCCCTGCGATGCACCCGCTCATGCAAAATTCACTTGCTAAATCATTTTAGAGCTGTATGCATCTACTCGTTTCTGTATCGTACATATATGTTACTTTTATAATTAATTTATGAATTAATATTCTATAGTTGTTATATGTATAAATATTTTATTGATAACTTGTTAGACATAACAGACAAAGAATTTTTGCGTTTTTGAAAAACATTTGACTCCTATCAAAACAACTTTTGCCAAGTTGTTTTTGCAAAGAACACATTTATACGACTTCGAATTTGAATAATGCGATGTGATAAGATTCGTAATGAATTGTATTGTTTATTCCATCTTTCGATTGGCAGAATCATAGATATAAACACTCGCAGAATGGACTATTTACTAGAAACGTCATTCCGAGTGACAATAGCTTTTTAGGGATCGCCTAAGTAGCTAAAGAAGTTGTTTTTAACGAGACTATATTACTAAGACTACGCTGTCCGTTCATCAGTCTGTCCGTCTGTCACCAGGCTATATCTCGTAAACCATGATAACTAGATAGATAAAAAAGTTTATTTCTCAGCAACACACAATTACATCACTTACTAAACATTGACACGATAAAAGAAACAAAGAAGAATAAGAAGCAAAAGTATACCGGTGTACAGCAGTTGAGAAAAAGGTCTAGGCTCGGTACACTAAAATCATCTAATGCAGATGAAGCACCGGTTTTCAGCCATCACCCTGAATGAGATGAGCGGGAACAAATATATATATTTTTTTAATGAATCGGATGTATCAGAAAATTATAATGTCAAAAATTAATATAAATAGAGATAAAAATGGTACGATAAAAAAAATATCGCGAAATAATAATATAGTATAATAATAATATAATATAATAATAATAAAATAAAAAGGCATGTCAAGTATAATTCATAATAAATGATAATATAGTGTAAGAAGTCAGATTTGTATTATTAAGAACTAGCTTTCGCCAGTGGCTTCGCCCGCGTGGACCCTAGGGAAATGTTTAGTGGGATAAAAAGTATCCTATTATCTAAGTCAGCTAACATCCTATCTGTATACCAAATCATCTAAATATCCAAACAAAAAAACTTTCACATTTATAATATTAATAGGATAATGTCAAGATAGTAATATTAAGTGTCAAAAAGGTAGCACGGGAAATTTAATTACAAACATCCGTTAAGCATTAGCGTCTTTTGTAGATATAATAAATGGGTTCTAAATCTTAGTTTAAAAGTATGATTTGTAGTAGGACTCCTCAAAGGGGGCGGCAAATCATTCCAACACTTTGTGGTCTGGAACCGGAAGCTACCCCTAAATGCTGCACTGCGGTGATGGTAACAATCCAGTTCTGGTCTTATGGTGTATTTACTGGATGATTTTAAAAATTGAAGCTTCTCGTAAAGATATTCCGGCTGTTGATGCATTATGAC